TTATTTTAAAACACTTTTTTTTAGAATGTAAATATATCAGTGCTTGCCTTTTTTCTATGTTAATGAAAAATGAGTCATACTTGGGGAGTGAGTATTCTTACCTATTAAACTTCTGTCATCCATTACCAGCCCTGCTCAGAAGAAATAAGTACAGATGGTGGGTCTATTATTTCTCTAACAAAAAATTTTCCTCTCTCTATTTTCTGTTTTGTTCTTATTGAAATGTGAGCAATTTTTCAAGTCAAGAAACCTCTGTAGGGATCCTTGTAATGTTTTATCCATTACTTGTACATTTAGGAGGAAAAGGAGTGATTAATGATTTGTTAAAATTCCATAATGAGAAAAACTCAAATAAAAAGTCTTTGTTAGAAAAATTTTTGTTTGATTTGGAAACCATACTTTTTGCATGCAAATTAAAGTCTGCAGGGAGTAAGTTTTTATATCAAACAAGGATCCTAAATTACTCACTTAGTGATGACAAAACCATTTAGCTTATATTGATACCTACATGGATCTTTTATTTATACATGGTTCAATGCAAATCTATCAGTTGTATACATATTTTTAAAAGAGCACAGAAGTTTTTTATTTAAATGTTTTATTTATGTTGAAAATACATCCTTACAGTAAAGGATCCAAATCTTAACTGTACACGTCAACCTTTTTTTTTAAACCCAAATTAGGCACTCTTGTGTAACCAATATCCAAATCAACAAACATATTGCTAGAACCCCAAAATCTCCCTTCAGCCTTCTGGACACTATCTCCTAAAGTAGTATTTATAGTGGTTTGGGTCATCAATTACTTTTTAAACATTTTATAATTGGAGTCATAAACTGTGTTCCATGTCTTGCTTCTTTTATTCAGTATTTATAAAATTTTAATTGTAGTTGTAACTCATTGATTCTTATTGCTACATACTATGTCACTGTATAAGTATACTACTGTTATTTTAGTCTATGCTAATGTTTATGGACATCTGGGTTGTGTCCAGTTTGGGGCTATTTTGAATAGTACTTCTATTCCTATGGCTGTCTTTTGGTAAACATTGTTTAGTAAATACCTTTGGGTGAGTAGGATAAGTTCAGCTTTGAAGTACATTTTAAATAGTGGTTTATATCATTTTACAGTCCTATCTACAAAGAGAAAGAACTCTAACTACTCCATATCCCCAACATGTGGTGCTATGTCTTTTTCATTTAAACCATTCTAGTGTATGTACCACTCTTACGTTGTGATAAGAATATATTCAGTAATATGCTAGCTTGGAATAAGATTCCTAATCAACTGTCATTTTGGTAAATTTTATCTGCATTATTAACTGTGATAATTTAGAACAAAAAATGAGCAATTCTCCAGATTAATGTGAAACAATATTCCTGCATCTTTAAAGAAAGTTTCATAGTCTGTAAATAAATCAACTAACAGTCTATTTAAAATTAAGAGATGAGTCTCAGGTTCCATTGCTCCTATTATGTCTGTGTTCATAGATAAATGTAGGAAAATCCTATGGGGAAGTAGCTGTCATTAGTTTATTACCTGGCAGCTATTATTTTACTCTTTACTGGGTAACATACGACTGTTCATTCAGGAGATCTTTGTGAAAATGGTATCGTTTCCTAATTATAAGCAGTGAAACTTTTGAAGATGCTATAGTCATAGCAAAATACAAAGAAAATCACCCCACTGTGCACCAAGATACTGTCTCTCTAATTTATTAGTTGGTTTCACAGTTTTCATGAATAATTACTGAGTGATTGTGCTTTGAACCACCTGTTCTCTGGGCTCAGATCCTTGCTGCACACTTAACAGTGTTGCCTTGGGAAGGTTGCTGAACCTGTTCAGATATTAGATCCCTGATTTGTAGAATGGGAATGGCTATTAGTTTGGATTCTTCAAGAAGCTGATAGAAAAAAAGGGATTTAATACAGCAGGATTTTATTAAGGGAAATGCCTAAGAGAGAAAATGGGGAGGCAAAGGAGGAAGGCTGGAATAGCTGTTGGTTATGAAGCAAGAGTGACCCAGACTGAAGGAGAGAAGAAAGCAAAGTTGGAAGGAAGTGTCCTAGCAGAAGTGCAGCCCAAAGAGGGGTTGGCTAGAAGGGGATTCAGGGAATCTTGAGTCAAACTTGGCCATCAGAGGAAAACTGGCCCATGTCTTCAAGTGATGGACCTGCATTAGTGTCCTGGGGCTCAGCCGTTGGCTGGGGGCAGATGCAGAAATAGGTTTCAGACAGAAGCAGCAGCGACCCTTAGTCAAGTAAGCTTCCTGTTCTTTGAGGTCTACAAGGTCCATTCTCATGGCCACAACAAGTGATTATCATGAAAATGAATTGTCAGACTCCAAAGAAAGTAATTAAAACCATGCCTTAATTATAGATATGCCTTGATCCATTTATTTATTCATCATCATTATTAATAATTCAACACATTAATAAAGGAGCCACATGTGCAATCTGCTCGAAATATTTGGAAGAAAAATAAAACTGCTCACAGAGGAGTTAAGAGAAGTTTAGTATTTACAGTTTGCTTGAGTCTTCCTAACTAAAGAATATTACTACAGCTGGGCATAGAAGCCGCAGGGCATAAATCTGCAAAGAAGTAAAAAGCTAACCTTTTCGAAGAATATTGCTTCTCTCTCACTTACTAACTTTACATTTCCCTGTATGGCCCCGGAAGATGACTGGTTAGCCAGAGACGGGTAAGATTCCTCAAGGGAGGAA